TATATATATATATATATATATATATATATGTATATATATATATATATATACACTCTACTATATGTACATATGTATATACATATATACCCTGTAATTTCCGTATACCACCTCTATCCATCTACCACGGATGCACATCCTTTCATGTACGCGATATTTTTGTCCACGTTGAATTAGCCAAAAGTTTACATGTGACTTAGAAGAACGTAGAAGGCAACGTATATTTACTCTAGAAAAACGTCACGGTACACTCAAGGATTTATTCAACTGTCATAAGGAGTATGGTTAGCCATTAATGAAAAGGATTTCACTAAAAATACTAAATTCGAAAGCCTCACACGGTCTCATATATCGCACTACCGATGTTCATTTAAATAAAAGCGAATGGAGAAAGGCTTCTTGATGGGTATTAAGGAAATAGGGACTTTGCTCGTGAACACTCGATTTAATAGATAACTGACAGAACTGCAGGTATAACAGGTGAAGTGCTTTTAAAATAAGGTAGTGCAACATCGGAATAGGAGGTAGGGGGTATGGTGCCTACCTTCGACGGATCGTAAACGTTATGCAGGCCAGCGAACCCTCCTTCAACTCGACAATATTTGTCGATGGACGTTATAGCATCCCAAACCCAGTCGCGGTATTTCTGAAGAACAAAACACATTTAGTATATCATTTTCATGTGGTTATCAGAAAAATTCTTCTTGTATGCAATGATATCAGTGATAAATATTTTAAAAAAGGTTTTAGAGAAAAGTCCCAGATCGAAAAGTAAAAGATAAAGCATATCAAACTACCGAGTGGCAGAAATTTCCTTGTCACTTCTTCTTGACTTGCCGATGGTATTGTCGTGAAGAAGAAAAAAGAATGTTATAAATATCATAGAAAAAAATTTGGCGAAGAGTACACATGATTTCGTAGATGCTAGTGCTAATTATATATATATATTTTTTTTTTCTTGATAAGCTTGCACGAGGTTGATAAATATATTTACAGAAAGAAAAATATATATATAGAAAGAATACATGTATATATATATATAAATATATTTATCAACCTCGTGCAAGCTTATCAAGAAAGAATACATATTGATTAGTCACACCGAGGTTTAGGGAAGGTCGGTTTCGAAATATATATATATATATATATATATATATATATGCTTATGGGCTTATGTATGGGTGTATATAGATGATAAGCAATGGATTATCGAATTGGCTACCTCTTTACCAGTCAATCTCCATAAATAAAAATAGCCTTCGATAACTTCCGGTCTTAGGATGTAACCATTTTCGCCGTACCTATAATGTGATTATGTTAATGCTCATTCACATTTGTTGTTCGTGAAGCTTTAGAATACGCCAAGTTATAGGCTTGAACTTAGACTAGAGGTAGTAAATCATTCTAGTAATAAGCAATCGACTACGTAGGACACCACCTAGGCTAAAAGTGCTAAAGTTTATAATGGAAGACTTCAGTGAATAAGAGGAGTACTTATAATGTCAGTGTAAACAGAATCAAAAAAAAAGTTCAAAATGGTAGCGCACCCAAAACTTCAGATCGAGGTAGGCTTACAAATTGAATGTTTGCTTTAAGATAAAACAAAAAAGAAAGGAAAAAAGGGAAAAGTGTGACATGTGTCTCATTCGTTACTCACTTGCTAGTGGCTTCGTCATCCCCTCTAAAATAGAACATTTCCGGTCCAATATGTGTTGCTGTACGTATATAACTTTCATGGCAGGTTCGCCCGAGCTCCTCGGCAAGCTGCATCGTGGAAGTCTGAAAAAAACATGAGCACGGCTCAAAAGCAAAAAATCGTGTCGCATTTCAACTAACATGAAATTTTTAACAAGAGATACCAAAAGCACTATATATAGTGATCGAAAAACGACTCATAAGATTCTTATTTTTCTTGTAAAACGCTTCGCCAGAGCTCTTGGTAGCAAAGGAATCCGCAGTCCGTAGCTATTTTTCAGACCATGAAACAGAGTCGACAACAGACCCTTATTTCAACGATTATACACTTGATAAAAATTTCTTGATCAATAAAACCACAAAAAACAAAACAAAATACATATATATATATATACATATGTATACATATATGCTTGTTTATAGGCATACACATATTATATATATATATTTTTTTTTTCGTTTGTGGAGGAACGGATAACGTAGTTGCAGTAACAGCTTGCATCATTCAGACAACCGAAACTACTCAGACGCTGGTTCAGCCCCATATCGGTCCGCTAAGTTTCTTACACATTGTGGTTAGAACATTGATACCAGAGCGGTCCGATAAAAGCTCACTTCGGCTAATCCACTTGGAGATAGATTAGCTCGGCTATCCTAGGTTTCTACGGAGGATTGACTTGCATTCAACGATATTTATAACAACGAGGAAAAATTCCTCAAGTAGCAGCCACACCTAAGCACAAAAATGGTCGAACAATTTCGTGGGTGGTGGATGCGAGAGAACGAATCAATTGCAATAAATGCCGAGATCCCTATAATAAGGTACACGTAATATTGCATCATCTATTTGTTATAATAGTAATCACCTGTCACCTGTATCACCTGTTGTCCCGTTGATGGTCGAGTGACTCGAGCGGGCGCCGGTAAATCTTCCATTTTTCCCTGTCGCGTACAAGAGTAGCCCAGTGGGTTCTGCTCACTTTAGGGACTCGTCGAGCATTATATCTTTTTTCTAGGCTTTTCGTGAAGAACCGTGACCAACGAGTCGGTGGTCTTCCTGCAGTGCGCATGACATCCCGAGGAATCCAGTTACTAACGGCTCTCGTTCATCGGTTCTCATTCATACGCATTAGGTGTCCGGCCCAACTGATCTTCGAATGTTTGGCGTACAGAACGACATCTTTGATTTTTGATCGTTGACGCAGGTTGGAGCTTCGGATCCCAACCCTTACCTGTGTGAAACGGGATACTCCTAGCATAAGAAACTACTCCGTTTCCTATTAACATCGTTTTTGTAAGATTTAGTCGAAGATCAATCTTTCCACGGACTCTATCAAAGTTCGTAAGTATTCGTTCCGCATGGCTGTTCGGTGTTATAAGGACGATGTCATCAGCAAAGCGAATACAATGCAACTGCCGAACATCGATTTTCATTCTCATATTATCCCATTCTAATGTTCGCATGACGTTCTGGAGGGTGGCGGTAAATAATTTTGGCGTGATGGTATCGCCTTGCCTAACCCCTCTTTTGACGTTAATGTTAATATCGTTGTAGAATGGTGATATCTTGGTTGTGAAATTTTTGTACAGCTCACGAAGAATCTTTACGCACTGAGTAAGGACTCCTTGACTATCAATGGGTTCCATGACTGCTTCTATCTCAATTGAGTTAAAGGCCTTCTTGAAATCGAAGAAAGTGGGACAGAGCGTTCTTTCGTACTCTCGTGATACTTCAATGAGTCCTGTTATCGTGTCGATGTGGCCCATCGCACTACATCCTTTTCGAAACCCTGATTGCTCACATAGCTGTCTTTCGTTCAGTGTTCTGTCAATCCTGTTTAGGATGACTCGAGTGAAAAGTTTGTAGGCGACAGACAGCAAGCAGATTGGGCGATAGTTGCCAATATCGTGTAGGTCACCCTTCTTCAACAATAAAACGGTGTTGCTGGTTTTCCACTGAGTAGGAACCTCGCATTCAGACTGGTAACGTGTGAAGAGCGGAGCCAGTGTGTTTACGAGGAGTGGCGGAAGGTTCTTCAAGTGTTCTCGTTCTTATCCTGTCCGGAACTGGTGCTGTTCGATTTTTCACCGTCGAAATGGCATGTCGGATTTCGAAAAGGAGAACCGGTGGTACAACATATTCATCTTCATATGACAGAAGGTGGACGTGGCTATCGAAGAGATCCGAGTAGTATTCGTGAATGATTTTCTCCATTGCCTTTCTGGAGTTCCACGCTGCAACTGTTTCGTCTGGACGTCTTCGACCATTACTGCTGCTCTTCTCTCTTCAAGATCTTCTTTTATCGCTTGTCTTCGCGGCTGCCTGCAGCTCGTGCGATTCCACACTGGCGTATCACCTCGAGTGTTTCTGGAGACAAACGTCTGTTGGTGACTTTCGAACTCTCAGCTTTCATAGCACTAACGTGAAGATGTTGAATGAGCCGATCGTATTCTTCTTCGATGTTGTCGACAACGGCATCTTCACAATAGCCGACTGTGAATTGAATAATTCTCATCTTATGTTGGTTCTGGGACTTTGGTTTTTGAATCTAGTGGCTTTTTCTCCTTTCCGCGAAAAGTAGAATCTTTCACGAAGAAGGCGATTGTCTGATCCCGTGTACAATTTTCGGGCAACAGCTGCATCGTCGATTAGGCAAAACCTTCTGTTTACAATGACGTGGTCTATTTCGATTTGGTACTCTCCATTGGGAGACCCCCACGTCCAGTGCTGAGTGTGGGGCTTCTAGAATTGCGAGTTACCATGGTCTTGGTTGTCGTGATAAAATCAGAGAGCCACTCACCCTGTTCCATTCTAATCCATGGGTCTCAGTGTGACGTTTTTCAGAAGTTCTTCCTGGTCCAATCTTGGCATTGAAATCTCAGTGATAACCTTGAAGAATGTGTGGTCTTCTCTGTGGAACATCTCCAACTCCGTGTAGAACGCTTCGACTTCTTCTTCGTCATAGCTTCATGTCGGCGCGGAAACGGCGATGGCTGTCAAAGCCGGTATTGATCCACATCTTTTTAATCGCAAACGTTCGATTCGAGTTGTTAGCTGTTCGAATGAACCAATGTTCATGGACAAACTCATGTTGACAAGAACGCTGCCTTCTTCCTTGCATCAGCAACTCTTTTGTCGAGGATTCGGATGCAAGTGTACGTGCATTGTAGGTACAGATCGTCACCATAGTTCTTTGAAATCCACGCAGCTTCCATTGGCCTTGAGATTTTAGCAGTCTCTCCATACTCGTCCTACCCAACGCTGCCAGATCGGGGGCTCTTTTGAGGTCAGGAAAATGAATCCCGTTTCTTTTACTGTGTTTAGGATTTTGATACCCACATATAACTTCCTGGACTTTGAACGTGGGGCTGGTCATTCTCACGGGTAGTTTGCCAGGTTCTCCCAGAGTGAACATGGAGCTTATTTGTTAGAGGCGAGTCTTAACCGGTGCCCTGTCACTTGATTGCACTCTTTTGGCCGAATTGACTCGTAGAATACAATCCGCATAAGCAAGAACGCACTCACAAACGCATACATGAATACGCCTAGCAAATACAGAAAGTATGTGCCAAATCAGCGCTGCAGAAACAGGGAGTCCATCCCCTAGAACCACCTGCGTGTCAGAGAAGCAAAGGTCACTTTTGGTCCGTAATTAACCCGGACGTGCCACGAAGCCTCGCGACTAACCGGCTCGAGATCCCTCATGTGAGGGACTAAACATTGTAAACAAGAGCGCACCCACACACACACATGCATGAATACGCCTCGTATATACTGAATGTGTGTGCCAAATCGGCGCCACAGAAAGAGGGAGTCCATCCCCTGGAACCTGGGTCCACCTGCGTCTCAGGGAAGCAAAGGTCGCTTTTGGTTCGCGATTAACCTCCTACCCAACCTGTGGACGCGCCACGTAGCGTCGCGACTAACCGGCCATCGGCATCCCTCATATGAGGGGGATCCGTGGTATAATAATAATAACGAAACCAATTAATATTACTTATTTACTTGAGTAGTTGGGTCGCCCGTCTTCACTTGTTCTGCAGGCTCCAGCATCATTTCCGTTTTTTGGGAGTTCTGCTGATTTAGGCATCGTGGTTCCTTGGAGTCCCTAGGTCAGGCTGACCAAAGGCTGCTACAGCTTGTCACCATCACAAGCAGTTGCCGCTCTTGTAGAATCAGATGGGGATTTGCCACTATGCAATAAGTTTGATAACAGGACGGTGGTGTATCTTGGTATTGGTTTACTCTTAGCTGAGTTTCCTGAGGGGAATGACGGGACTCTTTCTTAGCTTTGGCGTTCCTGCTTGGGTGATGAATCCCTTCGCTCCACAGCGTAGCCCGACACCTAGCAACACCTCCTAACCACGATGGAAGTAAAGCGTTGGGTAGATATTAACTAACAATAATAATGATTATAACTGTAACAGTGGTTATAATAAATAAGAATAATTGGTAATAATAGTGAATAATAATGAAAAGTAATAATAAATAATAAAAATAATTAACGGTAATTGATAATTAATAATTAATAATTAATAAAAATTATAATGAGAGCCACTATGGTAATAACAATTGATATTTCATTATTAATGATTAATAATTGATGATTAATAATTAATACAATCACAATGATGCTGAGAAATTCGTAAACCCTGGAATTCATAAACCTTGGACCTCAGGCCAAATCGAACCACGATTACCTTTTCCGAGGGCTCGCGTGTTACACACTGCACCACTAAAGCCCTTACTTTGCCTTTTTCTCAGCTAGTTAATAATTAAAGGCGATCCTCCGAAAAGTGTAATAGTTGGTAATTAGCCGCTAACATTTAAGTTCTAAAAATAAGAATAACAATAGTAGTAATGATAAAAATAGTAGTCATAGTAGTAATAATAATAATGACAGTAATAATAGTAGTTATAACAATAATAATAGTAATAATTGACAACAATAATTACTATAATGGTGATACAACCACAACGTTGCTGAGATATTTGCAAAACTCTGGACCGCAGGTGACTATGGTGTGGAACGAACGCGCTATTGTCCTTTCCGGGGAGTAACGCGTTCACCGCCACACCATGAGGGTCTTTCGTTTCGCTTGTCTCTCAGCTATTTCTATCGATCTTTGCCACAGCAATCACCCGTCTGCGGGATTGATTGAAATTATAGTAGGCAGAAAATAAAAATAAAAAGGTATAACATTGTGATTTCAACTATAGCCGCAGCTTAACTGGGTTCTATGCCGATTTGGGCGCCCCAGAACAATCCCGCAGACGGGTGATTGCTGTGGCAAAGATCGATAGAAATAGCTGAGAGACAGGCGAAACAAAGAACCCGCATGGTGTGGTGGTGAAGTGCGCTACTCCCCGGTAAGGACAATAGCGCATTCGTTCCCCACCATAGACACCTGCGGTCCAGAGTTTTGCAAATATCTCAGCAACGTTGTGGTTGTATTAGCAACAGTCTCCATGCTGTGTTCTCTGCACTGCACATAAAAGGCACTTAATCGCCACGGGTCTGAGAGGCATTTTACTACACTTCTCATCTGTGATATTCTTCCCATTGTGTTTGCATTCTTCACTGCAGCTTGATGAAGAAACCTAATTGAAAAACAGTTCCTTCATATAAGTGTGAAAAATAGCTGTTCTTGTTCATGGTACACTGGTATGAGATGGATAAACAAATTCCAGAAAAACACCGTTATCGAATGAATAGCAAAGCTATAGCAAAAATGTAAAAATTTTTAAAATAATTGTATACGGCAAGATAAACGACTAGAAAGAAAATGTATTGACATCAATTCACTCTGGCCGATCCACCCCTCATCCACAAGCATAAATAGTAAACAACTCATTTCAGATTCTATGCTTGAACAATCTCGTATCGACTACGAAAGGTTGAGCCACTCCTTTTTTCAATGCGTGATTGAGAACTGGTCATTGGAATTCGCAAGCGGTACATAGGTTGGGAAAGTCCGCATATAATAAGCAATGAAACAAAAACAAACTCCATTGAAACACAGTTATTCTTCACCTTCCGAGTATGAAATTATAAAGAAGCGGACCCACTTGTTCTTCAAGCCGCTTCTCATTGGCAGCCTGAAGCGCGAACATTCCTACGGAAAAACAAGCCAAATGTCCCATTTTATGATCGACCATACCTCCACGAATTTCAGCAACATACGTTAGACCACTACTTGAGTTGAATACCATCCTGAAATACTTGGATCCACAATGGAGTCGCAAGAAAAGAAGTGAAAAATGTTTTAGTGTTAGTAATAGATTTCATCAACAATCTATTTGATTAAGAACTTACTGTGTACGTATGGCCTTGCTGACATCCCAATACATGATACGTGCTTGCTCGTCGGTTTTGCCAGACTGAAGCCAAGATTTGATAAGGTACTCGTAGAAAGAATCACCTAATGCACCTAAAGACCTGAAATAAGAAAACAAGCTCAAGGCCACTATCTGGAAGAGGACGGAAAATAAAATTTACGTAAGCTCTTGAGCTAAAAAATGTCAGAAGAGCATAAACAATGTTGAAATCTCGAATTAGCTACCCAAAAGATTACTGCAGGTCTTTTTTAAACTGTCTTTGCTTTCGTTGCACACCAGACTTGTACGAAGGACAAAAGCTGTACCACAATTCTAGGAGTTCGATACTGAAGAGCTGCCATCTCAGTGGAATGTGAATCATTACAAACATGAAATTGTGCTTGTATATATTCATCCTTCAGTATCAGGTCTTGTGAATGAAGAGTGTTACGGGTACTGATAACGTGATGAGCAGCAAATTAACACTAAGATTATCCAAGTAGAGAAAGAATTCGATATTTCCTTTAGGGAGCACAACGAAGAGTCAACGTATGCCATGGACTGCTAGATATACTGTGGCGAGAGTCAGGGGAAAAAAGCTTAAAATGTGAGAATATTCATTGCATCGAAATAGAAGAGGGAACTCCCACCTACTTTTAGAACAAATGGAGACTCTGCCAAAGCTCTCTTGAGTTATTCAAAAAGTTTCAGGTAAATTAGGTGATATATTCGTGGTTTGTAAGAGAATTAATGCGTTAACAAAAGTTTTACCATTTCGGATTCGGAGAATTTGCTCTTGAAATAAAGTCGTACATAAATTTGTCTATGATAGCCACCGTAGAAGGCGCAGCATCCTTCTACTTCCAATTCATTTGTTGTTACACTCACTTACATGTCAAAGGTTCAAAATAAAAACGAGAGCGTTGGTGGAAACCTGTTGGTGAACGCGTTCTCTCTTGGGAATGGTATTAGCGCGTTCGTTCCCTACCACGGACCCATGCGGTTCGGAGTTTTGCAAATATCTCAGCATCATTGTGGTTAAAAACGAGAGCTTCCAAGACGAAGAGAGTCGTGAACAACTGAAATAATCTACGACGGGATTTGAAGGTAGCAGATGACTCAATTCGGATCGTTGAAAAATTCCAACAGAACCTAGAAATTGATGTTCCTGAAAACAGAAAAAAACGGAAGAACCATCGACATAGGATAGGACATAGGACTCTGTTGATTTTGTGCAACAAAAACGGTCTATTTCTGATCAGTCGAAGAGGAAAACGAACACGAAACAACTGTTACACTGTTACACGGAAACTTCCGACCTTCCGACCACACGTTGTATAACCAACGCTCTAAAAGCTGACAAGATTGGAACACGAACTATCAATCTTCATGAGTACTCATCGAACTCCTCACCAATCAAATCTTCAGAAACTTTTTCTTTGCTTATTTTTCAAATATCTTAGCAGCCACATGATTAAAGAACCGTCAGCAATAAAAGTACCCACAAATTTCTTAAAGCGTATGCGTTTGAAAATTTAAAAAATTCAAAACGATTAAGTAATTAGACTAGCACACTGCTGGCTGAAAATATTCAAAAGATGCAATTAAGGTTTTGGAAAAAGTTTAAAATATTGAAATGCCTATCAAAATATTAAAAAATACAAAGTAAATGCAAAGTGAAGGAGCCGTAATATCGTCGTTCTGTTGTAAGTGGAGAAATTTAATATGAGTTGAAAAACCTGTGTTGCAAAATGACGCTTAGGAACCTGTACCAAATTTCAGTTAATAACGTTGAGGGGCGGATAGCACAGTGGCAGTGATGTTCGTCATCACGAGCACAGCGATGGTTTGATTCCGCTCCGGGCCAACCAGGCCCCTAATCCATCCGAGGTCGGGAGATTGGTACCAGAATAGTCTGGGAAAAAATCGCTCTGTGCAATCCAAATGAGAACACTCGAGCCCGACTATCTCAGGACTCCAGGGAGAATTGTTCAATGAGCATTCTGCGACATTCAAGGTGAAATGGAAATCCTCAAGCAATAACCGAATCCACACGCAAAAAGTTGGGAGATCTTCGTGGAAGATGGGTGCGAGGAAACGAATTGAATGTGAGAAGTGCTGGGATCCGCACGGTATACGTGAATACGGGTCAAATAAAATAAAAAAATTGTGTCGTGTTTGTAGACGTATGATTGTTTCATTATTTCGTAGGACTACACTTTTCACTGATACTGGAATATCGGACTTGAGATGCAAGTAAAATCTCAAAAATATTCGCCGTCGCCAATGTGTTAGATGCTTACAATACTTTTACTCACACGTGATGTCTTGATGACCACGTTCCTGTAGAAGGATCGATATAATTTGAATAGAGTCCGTCGATTTTCTTCACGCTGAAGAGTACATCACGAATTTTCTTCACTTTTTTGGCGAAAATCGGTGCAGCAGCAACGTGACTGAGGTAGATAAATTCGAGATGAAGGCTGCCAACCTCAGCCAGTACTGATGAGCTGGAAAGAAACATACTCGTTATTTGAGACTCCCTTTGAGGCGTCCAACGGCATTGAATTCAGTGGAGGACCTAGTAGAGCTGTTTGCTTCCAACTGACACCCTTCAAAGCGAACTCACCCGCCTGCCCAGGCGTAGTTCGACGTTTGCTTAGTTTTCGCGTTGACGTTAGCTTTAGGAATACCCGTTGGTGTGTTGAAAGATGGCAGCAGTGCTTCAGCGACGCTTCGCGCCTTTCCGCTGAAAAACTGAAACATTAAGCTCAGTTATTGAATTCTGTTGCAGTTGACGTCAAGTTTTATATACTGAAGTTCATCCTAGACGTTACGATGAAAAGTTACAAATGAAAATTCAGTTCCGTGGTATAAAATACAATTTTTAGGGAAAGTTACAGTTTACAAATTTCGAAATATTGAGAGTGATGTTGACCACTCTTTTACTAATCAGAAAGGTTATGAATAACTCCGACGTGAAGGAGGACGATATTGGTGATACTTGGACTACGTTTTGAGAAGATTTCGATCATCATTTATGAACGTTGTTTGCAAAAACCTATAAGCTAAAGATAATCCATAAAAAGCGGTGACTACACATTAGATATGGTACCCGAGTATATAAATTATAGGAGCATCTGGTACCAATATAAGTATACTCTGTGATTTTCGATCTACTTCAGGGACTATAGGTACTTTGATAGGACCATTTTTTTTCTCTATGTCCTTTTCAAAAATCTACCCGTCTTTCCTATTCTGTGTTCTTATCTATACGCCTTTTTTTTCCTACAATAAAAAAGCATGTGTAGCATAATGGTTAAAGAAGCTCTACAGTACGTAGAGGGTTGCTGGCTGGTTCGACACCGAGTCCACAAATAACGAAGCCCCCTATCCCGGAGCCGAAAAATTTACTAGAATCATGAAAGCACACAGTGACCGATACACTGGCATGGTACCGAAAAACGTTATGTAAGTAAAACAAGCATTTAATCACTCTGTAATGCTCAAAGTAGTCCAATGCATAACGCATCTTTCAGGTATTGATCGAAACGGATTCCTTCAGCCATTACGCCTCCTTTTCTAAAATTTTCATTCAAGCAAATGTAATACATCTCCTTCTTTGTTGATTTATTCCGCTTTTATAATAATTGTGAAAACCACTGGAGTCAAATAGCAGTGATTTTGTAGAAATGAATCTGTGTTAACACTTTGAAAGCTCCAATTTTGAAGCAGATCAAATTCTCTACTGCTGACTTCGACCAGTTGTTCGTAAAAATAATGTTCACTTCTGTTTGGTTGATTCAATGAATTGAATGATATGCTCACATATAGAAGGCTTCGCCGGTGAGTGCGTAGAGCGACAGCAAACCGCCAAGAAATCGTATGGTCGTCTCGAAGACGGACATCGAGCCGGTCGCCTTGCTCATGTTGAAGTGCTCTTCGATGTAATCGCGAGCCTTCAAGTCATTGTCTATTATATTTCATCATCGATTTCAATTGATTCAATCTTTAAATCTCAGCGTTACGGTGAAGAAATATTCTGCAAAAAAGACCGAAGAAGAAAAGAATAAAGAAAAGGACTGTAGGAGAAAGAAAAGAAAGAGAGAAAATAAGGAAAAACCTTTGTACAACAACTGATCAGATGCTGCTTCAGTGAAATGATTTCTACACTGATAAAGTAGGAACGATGGTTTTAAATACTGAGAAGAAGACAAGGAAGCAGTCCTTTTTAATTGTTAACACGACTCGAGTTATCCGATAGCACGTTTTTTACCGATATGATCTTCCATTGTTAGTAAGACTATACGAGGCGACTTCAGATTAATTCCTTTCCGCTATGCCTCATTCTCACAAGACCGTTTTCTTGCTTCCTTAAATGAACGAAACTACGTAGACAGAAGAGATCCTATGACGAAATCGTGTATTATCATAGGATATTTGGCTGCTCAAAAATAACACAGGCCTTGTATTTATAAAAGTTTACCCCTTCACTCCAAGCAAAGTAACTCTTTCCATTAACATTATCCTGTTTTGAAGTGCAACATCCTCTAAATGTTCTTATGTCGACCTATTTCTCAGCGATTAGCCGATGCCATTAGTGACAACGGTTTGAAGAAGGTTTTGGAGCACGTTAACGTATAACGCTCTGATAGCTTAAGGAAGGAAGCGCTGTAGAGAGAACGAATGCCAAAAATTTTATCAATACGGCAGCTGAATTTTAAACTAAAAAAGAAGCTGAAAATGGAAAAATTTATTCTTCATAGGTTTTGCGCCGTACGGCTGTCTAATTCTGGGGCATTGCCATGTGCGATTAAAAATGTTTCTGTACATTTTTAAACTTTTTTTCCGAACTTCATAAAATCGAACAAAAATAGTCGAATGCTTTTCTCCACTAAATTTGTACCATAAGATGGTTACGGTAACTTTAAGGAAACTGTTTGATGACGGGAGGATGGAATCGTCCTCTATTAAGATTTTTTTTGCCAACAAAAATCTACAGATTCCAACGCTTCCTAACTTGATCGGTAAACTTTACTGCAAGTTGAGATAGGTGTAGTTAAATTTTCAGTAACTGTCAACATTAAAGCTAGGCTTTATCTTCTCTTTTCTTTACTCTATACACCAGCAAAACCACTTGACAAGCATGCAGCCAATACCGCAAACAAACCAACAATAAAGTTGAAGGGAGCGTGTGGTGCAGTGGTCGGAGGCTCCCTGCAAGCAACACACACGTGGAATCGACCCCCGCGCCCATGGCCCACCAAGCGTTCCATTTCCCCGGCGTCGACAAATTGGTACTAGGCCTGACTGGGAGTATAGCAGTACTGCCTCGACGCATCGGTTGGACCCGGCGAGTCATTGTAAAGGCCAAATATGCATCAAATCACCTCCAACGATACTTAATGGAGTTGAATGCATGGCGCATCTTTTAGGGTTTGATCAATGTTGAGAGCTTTATCATTTTACTCTTTATGAATAAAAGTCAAAACAGTCACGCTTTTAGAGAACGATAGAGAACAAGGTGAGACCGGTGTATGATATGCGACGATGTTAGAAGACTCGACAGTTGGTCTGTTGAAAAAACTAAACGATCCGTACCTCTTTATACTCCTTCTGTAGTCCCATGATCCATAGCGTGTCAGCGGCGTCGACAATTGTTGCTGGCATTTCCCGACCACCGAAAATAGATTGTGTATTTGGTGTCTTAGAGACAGGACGAACCTTAAAGCACTTATCAAATATTATTTCATAGATTGTATTTTCAACCAAGAGCTGACAATTTCGTAGGAAATACTGCAGCAAACATGACTTAGGGTGATCCCGAAGCTTTGCTCGCGAAAGGCGGCAAGCTAACCTCCACTGTCAATTCACTGTAAGTAGTAAAGATGATCACCGTATAATATTAAAATTTTCATGCTTCTTTAAAGAGCGTGATTCACTGAGCAGCTTGAATAGCGAAGGGGCGAAGGAACTACACTAGTATACAATTTATTTGGTGATTAACAAGATTACCGAAGTGTTGCAGATGCTCACTATGAATGATAAGTATATGACAATGCCTTGTTTTTGTTTTTTGTTTGAAGTTTGTTTTATTTTGAAGAAATTTTCAAGTGAACCTTAAGGATATTTCCCAATTCTGTTATCTTTCGTTGGTGAACTTCATAGGAAAACTCAAAAAGATAAATGACTAATTTTTTCACTCACTTCATTCAAACCCCACGAGTAGTTTTTGTAGCCATTCCAGGCATGCTGCATCATCTCGATCACCTTTTTTCTTCGCTCTTCTAAACAGGATTAATACAAGTTTCATAGGAAAACTCAAAAATTTACAGGTATAAGAATTCCACTTTATGCCGACTCACGTTGCAAACAGTGGTTGATTTTGCATAACATCTTCCCGTGAGAGTCGTAGGCAGTAATTAAAAAAAGTAAACATTGTGATTTCGACTGCAGCCTCAGCTTAACTGGGTTCAATCCCGGTGTGGTCTCCGTAGATCAATGCGTTGACGGCGGATTTCTGATGGCACTGGTGGACTGAGAACTAGCTGAGAGAAACGGAAGGGCCTGCGTAGCGCAGTGTTTAAAGAGCAAGCTCCCGGAAAGATTAATCATGGCTCGATCTGGCACGAGGTCAACGTTTTGCGAATATCTCAGCATCGCTATGGTTGATTTCCGTAATACCCTACCGTGAAAATTGTAGTAGGCAGTAAATAAGAAAAGTGAACACTTGAAACAGTGTTTCGAAAAAAAGCTGGCACTGATCCCGTTCATTATACGAACGGCATCAAACGTGTTTAGAAAGAGTTCACGTCTTCCCGTCCACTTGAGAACGCTCTATCACGGTTATCTCAGGACTTCAGAAAGAATCAACTTGACTAGCATTAAATAAAATTATTAGAAAGACGAGAAATCTTGAGCAAAGGCGGAACCCATACCAAAGAAGTTCCGTGACCCCAGTCGTTGATGGATGGGACGAAACGAACCGGCTGCAAGAAGGGCTTGGATCAGCATAATACGATATGTGACGTGGTGTCACGTTCTTGGATACTTAGATGGCCCATCTCCACCTTCACTGGCTGTGCTGGCCCCAGAATAATCTCCGTTTTTCGGAGTTTTGCTGGCTTAGCAATTGGGTGTCCTTCGAGTCGCGGGGTCATTCTTACCAAAGTCCACACCCAGGTCGGCACCACCACAGGCAATAGCCGCCCTTGTGGATCAGAGAGAGATTTGCATCCATGCGACTAGTTTGATACCAGAACGGTGGCGGAGTGGATCCTGGTAATGACTCACTCTTACTTGGGCTTCCTGATGGAAATCGCGGGCTCGTTTTCAGCTTGGGAGACCCTGTGGTGGGGCGTGAATCCCCCACTGTGCATCGCAGACCTCCACCCAGGCACACCTCCCAGCCACAATGAGGCGGTAAACCGTTGGGAGGGGTCATGTAACAATAATGATAATAATAATAATAATAATAATAATAATGAGTCAATATGGACATTGGATAGAATTACAACAACAGAATTACTCTCCTTGCAAACTTCTCACCCAGTTGGTTGCGAGATTATACTATGCATTCCCAGATGGAAGGCAACAGTTAAATACATGTCAGAAGCGACAGTGTATTTCTACTGTGAAGAAAGTAAGTTAAGTTGTTAAACCGTCTTTTTCTCCTGTGACGTAGATAAATTAAGTTGTTGGAATCAATATGTGTCCTGCGACGGATTTGTATAATCCTTCTGTACATGTATTCATACATTCATGTATTCCTCCATAAATATCTATTGTATTTGTGCAGTCCTATTCTCCAAAAAACGTAATAAATGAGTGGAAAGCGGAGGGGAAATTATTCGAAATAGCCTGCAACAATTATCCACGCCTACTCCGTAAAAGCGACAATGAGCCAGTGAACACACAAGTCTAGTGAACACAACAATTTCAACTTATTATTTACTGCCTACTCTTTTTTTTAATGGCAGGGTATATTGCAATAGAGTGGTTATAACTATAGCCTCAACTTAACTGGGTTCGTTGCCGATTTCGGCCCCCCAGATCAATCCCGTTGGCGGGTGATTGCTGATGGCAAAAGATCGATAGAACTAGCTGAGAGACAGGCGAAACGGAGGACCGGCGTGGTGTAGTGGTACACGAGCTACTCCCTGGAAAGGACAATAGCGCTTTCGTTCCCCACCGCATACACCTGGAGTCCGGAGTTTTGCAGATATCTCAGCACCATTGAAATTATTTTTATTGCTTATTACACGACCCGACATCACATGTGTCACATTGTGCGTATCCTAGCAATGCTTGTATTCGATTTATTTCCTCGCTTCCACCGTCTACTTAGTCCTTCCATGTTTTCATACGTAGGTTCTTTTGCTGTTTCACTACTGTTGTCTTCTCTATTAATGTCGTTGAAGCGTAGTGGAGACCGTTCTCCCTGGAATCTTGAGCTAGCCGTGCCAGCGCGTTCCCACTTAGCTTGGAATGAACTTATACAGGACTACTTTGGTGCCAATTTCACGACCTTGGAAAAATGATTAGAAGCTTGGGGTGCTCGCCGAGGTGTAGAAGCAAGGTTAGGGTAGGTCGGGCTGTCGGGTTAGTAAAAGGGACCACTACCACTGCGATAGCCTCCCTCTTTCGCCTTGAAAATGTCGTCTAGCATGCTTCCTTTAATAGAACAATCAGAAAAAAGTTGTTAAAACCACAGAGTCTTATTGGGTACGCATACAGATTTGACCATATAAAAAGCAATATAAAATCGCTTAACAGTTGTACTATACAACGGTTAAGTCGAGTGATATATTCAGCTGAGATTGTTCACTTATGTATTTATTCTGCTTCTAATTTCCTTCAATATAGAAAGGAAAGAGAAATAAAGAAATTCACACCGTTAATTTCTTCGTGAGCCACGATGTTCAAAGTACCGGGGTTCTTCAAATTGTTACGTTCCAGCAGTAGATCTCGTAACCTCTCACCTTCAGCAACGCCCACCTTGGAGAGCTCTTTATCCTAAAGCTAAAACCACTTGTAAGATTTTCTTTTTTAATGGACCCTAACTATGAGGTTCATATCTGCAAAGAAAATCGTTGTGTACAGCCGGAATTTAACCACTTGGCGCGAATCCTATACTTTTCTAGGTTTCTTGACACTTGTGTTTCCCTGGAATCCAAGGGTCAGCCTGGTCAACGTCTGCCCCAGGTCTTCGCCACCACGGGCAGTCGCAGCCCTTGTGGATCAGAGGGAGATTTGCCACAATGCGACTTTGATACCAAGACGGTGGTGGATCCTGATATTGGTTTACTCCTAACCAGACTTCCTAAAGGAAACGCCGGACTCATTCTCAGCTTGGGAGACCCTGCCGTGGGACGAATCCCACTGCTGTACATCGCCGTCCGACACCCAGGAACACCTCCCAGCCACGATGATGCGGTATACCGTTGGAAGGTACTTTTCTAGATTACGAGTCACAAATAGTTTGAACTTAATAATGGTACCTACTGGACGCGTAAGATACGATTTCAATTGGCTTCAATACACAAATGCTTCGTCTTAATTAACAGTACTATTAATACAGTAATAATAAACTTTCTTAGACCCACATCTAATCCAACAACTTAATTAAAATAATGAGAAGATTCCTGAACAAGATTTGTTCTCATGATATTTAGAAGAATGTAAAACAAATTTTTTACATGGTCCATTTCACATGTGGTTGGCAAAAAAGTTTTATTCGGCTTTTTTAGAGCCGGTTAAAACTTTTATACAAACTTCGTGTCAGTTCAAATGTGTGAAAAAATACTGGTTATTGTGAAATATAACTCGTATGAAGTGCTGAGATATCCGCAAAACTCCGGACCACAGGTGTATGCAGTAGGGAACGAACACGCGCTGTTGTCCTTACCGGGGAGCAGCGCACTTCACCACTACACCATCCGGGTCCCACCTACACCACCATCCGAACTTCACCACTACACCATCCACTACATCACGACCCGGATGGTGTAGTGGTGAAGTGCGGATGGTGGTGTAGGTGGGACCCGGATGGTGTAGTGGTGAAGTGCGCTGCTCCCCGGTAAGGACAACAGCGCGTGTTCGTTCCCCACTGCATACACCTGTGGTCCGGAGTTTTGCGGATATCTCAGCACTTCATACGAGTTATATTTCACAACATACCCTGCCATTAAGAAGAAAAAGGAAGTAAATAAAAGAGTTAATACTGGTTATTGTTGTCAAGGTGTAATAAAAGCTGGTTTTGAAGGTAGTGTAACAGAACTTTAAAACACAGGCTTATCGAACATAAGAGTGTCGAATATAATGAGTTTGAAATTAACTAGGAAGTGTATTAGACAACTGGGATAACTATTGGAATATTTTTACTATTAAATCTATTAAAAGACGTAATCCTCCCAATGGTTTACCTCCTCATCGTAGCTAGGAGGTGTTCCTGGATGTCTGCCGGTCGTGCTGCAATGTACAGCGGAGGGACTCCTCCTCCGACCTCACAAGCCGAGAAGGTGTCCAACGTTTGTATCAGGAAGCCTAGTTAAGAGTAAACCAATAAAAGGACTTGTCACCGTTCTGGTATCAAATTAGTACATAGTGGCACTTCTTCTCCTGATCCATAAGGGTGGCGGCTGCCTGTGATGGCGAAGACCTGGGGCAGACTTAGGCTTGGTTGATCTAGAGACTCCAGGGAACCACAGTGGCTAAACCAGGAAAACTCCAGAAAATAGAATTTTTGCTGGAACCCATACAACCAGTGAGGATGGGTCATCCAACTATAGTGGCTATAAAAGTGACATAACGATAAATAACAGAATTCTCGAATTCTGCTCCTTCCAACCTGATATTTGAGTCCAAGTCTTCCTGGTCGTAATTGGATCACATTTTCTGTTGAGTACGGTAGCCGTGCGACGATGAAAAGAACAGCGAATAAGATGCCGGCACTGATGAGAATTGCTGTTCGTTTTAATCGTACCGATTGCATGACATTTATCTTAAACAAGCGGTGGTCCCATGAAGATCTCACTCAAATACAAATTTTGCTACTGTAGGCGGCAGCAAACAAAAATTTCCAGAGTCTCTGCTTTTCATTAGAAGGTGTTCAATAACATTCAAACAGCATCCTGTTTGTTTGAGTCGTATTACTGTAGAGTTGATGCTTAAGTGTTCGAACACTACGATTTCAGGTAATGCTCAGTGAGTTTTAGGATGAGCAATTGTAAACACGGAAAAAATACGCGGTGAGGAAAAGTGAAAAGATTAAATAAATAGAAATGAGTAATAGATGAAGTCAACTCAAAAATGATACAGCAGGAAGCAAAAGCCTTGCCGGAATAAGTCATTATTTTTTCCAAATTTGTGATATTTCTTGAGGAATTTTTTAGGAATAAGTTACTGGAACATCTTTTTTCTTGGGTCATCTCTTTTTAAGGTGACCTTCTTATCTCATCTTTTCGATGCGTAACGGTCAACACGATGAAGTGTTGCTTAGATATCCGCCCTACATTATCTGAATAGTTGCAGGAGGCACTTATTCCACTCCTGCGTTACTCAATCACTTACTCCTTTTCATCTCCTTCGTTGACCATTTGAAAGAATAATCATGATCCGACTGCTTCAACCTCGACAACATTTTACTTCAAGTACTGTCCTTTTCCAATAAAAAGGGGTGGTCTTGAGAAACCGGTACTGGCAAGCCATTTAACTGAACGTTCAACGACGTCAATTAGCTTATTACCGCCTCCATGACCTTGCCACAACAATACGAAATTGCGTTATTTGTTATACACAGAGACGGGAAATGCGTAAATATGCCAGATTTCTTGCAACGCTTGCGATGATAGATACAAAAAGTGGCGAAGAGTTGAGAAAGCTTTTTTCATATAAAACTGCACTTTCACACTCAGCTTGCCCATCATCACGTGGTGTGCGGCCTCGAGCGCTTCTTAAATTTGTAGTTTACTAGCTAACAGCCGTGTAAATGGTCTGGTTTTCGTGTTAGAGCTCGTTTAAAGCTTGACGAACCGTCTCCTCTCTGCATTGACGTGTTGAAAACTGGTGGAGCGTGCAACTCCTGTCACGCTTCACTAGAGTTACGCTCGATATTCTGGATTATAACGAAGTTTACTGCCATGCCACTGGAATTGTTTGAACACGGCATCGATTCCAGCGATCAGTGCGTCGACAGATCTCAAACAATGTAATAGGCCGAAACTACACACATAGTTGGAGTTAAAATTCGCTAACGTACTCCACTAAGCACAAATAGAACACAAAACGAAGGTGAGCAAGTTTCGGAGTTTAAAGTGACGATCCTAGAAAATGAATCAAAAGTATTAGTTCGCGATGCTCTTGAATCGTTTTAGACTAATGACAAAATTTCCAAAGTTAATAGAAGTTACTAAGGGCGTGCAATCTCACATTGGCTAGCACTGCATTTCAGAATACTTCTCATGCGGCATACTTCATGCGAATTTTGCGTAGGTTCAGGTCTAGTGTATATTTGTGGAAACACTTGGTGGGATAAACTGCACGTTTCCCTGGACATTTCGTAGCTCTGAAAAAACCAAAATATGTTTAGGTTTTGCTTGTGACAAGTAAATATTGTACCAATCTTCGTTATTACGTTAACAACACAAAAGCTCAATGATGAATGCTGAGATTAATAAAATATTTGTGCTAAGAATTGCTATGATAACTCGCACAATGGATCCCATTTATTTGTCTCATTCTTTCTGTAAGTTTACAAACTGTTACAGCATGTAAAAATAAGCGTTTATTTATGTGATCTTGTAAACTGATCTCCTTAGGCTGATGCGAGGTTGGCCAAACGAAAACCTATACCAACTTAGCTTCAGCTTAAGAAGATCAGTTCATAGGATCAAAGAAATAAATATATCAACCATGTATGCCGAGATTTATAGAAAGTCGGCCTTTGGAGTTAAAAATAAGTACATTAGCACAGTGTTGGTGTTTCTGAGAGCAACTTCAAAATCTCGGAGGGAGATTGGCTGAGGAATAGGAATGGTTTGTGAATATGTATGTCGAATCAGCACGACAGAGATGCAACATTGAAGGCTTTTACAGATCTCAGCGTTATAGAATCTACAGGCAATATTTCTATGCACATTTCTTTCCGATGAAACCGAGGCGATCATTCAAATGCAAAGTGGATAAGAAATGAATCAACAGCATTTGTTTTGTTGAATAAACGACAAAAACGAGGACGACTTGAAACATTCGTGGAAAATGAACTGACTGAATAGCTAAATGATAGAGGAGAAGAATCCTATGGAGGATAAGTAAAACATGTCCGAACTGGAAAAGACCTCACAGTACTCGCAATCCGGCGGAAAGCAAAAACGAAATTAGAATCGAACACAGTCAGCCAGTACTTTTGCAAACTGACCTTTATGTAATTTCAGGATAAACATTAGTGTGATGTTTCATTAGTAAGACAACACAATATTGCAGCAAAAATTTTTATTCGGCTAACGTTACTTCGCCTTTACCTTCGCCTTCTTCACGGCCGTGATCATTCGATTGTCCACAGCCGCTTATTCCTGGTTAGTGGGTCCTGATATTAGCATCAAGCCGAGATATTTGCCGAATGAGAGTTTTGTAAAGAGTTCGTGTTAGCTTCTAAGCGCAACAATACATTCGGGATTATCCCACACAGAAAGTTCGTTTTAGTTACAGAATAAATCGGCCGCAAACCGATTGTTATGAAGCACAAGAAATCCTGAAGAAATTAACTTGGATGGCTTTGGTACAAATGTTGTGGGACGGATGAGAAGGAGTACATGAGGTACCATCTTGGGCTCCACTATCCGCAGGGTCATAAGGTGCCGCAAAAATTGTTGTTCTATGGGAAGGAAATTTCATGGACATGAAATAAGCAAAATTTCCGCCTTAGAACCGGCAAAATTTCCATCTTATTTTGAAAGGTGACTCAGGAAATGAACACTTTTATGGACCAAATGGAAAACGAAGTGATGGCAAGAAAGAAAGAAAACAACTTCCCACACTCCACAGAGTTTTTAGTCAAAAGGTAGTCAATGTCTTCGACGTTTTCATTTTTCAAGGCTTCGCTAATAGTTAACTAAAGACCACCAGTAAAGACTCTTACAGCCGTTGATATGTATCCTACCATTCCTCAGCCATCGTCGATGCACTTCACTGGTGCTCTTCTTTTCTGAGACTTTATGAATTGGTCTTCATGAAACGACATCGTTGCCAGGTGGTATGAAATGCATGTAAATCCCTTTTGGTATTTGATCTTTTTAGGACACTTTAGTTGTCACGGCTAAACGTCTTTCAAACGCAACATGCACTGAACTCAATGCATTTAACAATATTTCGAAACCGACTTTCCTTGAACCTCGGTATCACTAATCAATATGTATTCTTTCTTTGATGAGCTTACACGAGGTTGATCATGATGTTTATTTTCGGCTAACGTTTCGACGTCTTCGTCTTCCTCAGAGCCGATGATCCGAGTCGATGGTCCTCGCTTGCTATTCGCCTCGACGTGGCAGCTTCGCCTTTGTGTCGAGTTAGGTCTTCTTCAGTGAGCCATCTCCTTCAATGAGGCATCCTTACTCAGTGATGCCCTTTTATACACGATGCTGATGGTCGATAGCAAGCGAGGACCATCGACTCGGATCATCGGCTCTGAGGAAGACGAAGACATCGAAACGTTAGCCGAAAATAAACATCATGATCAACCTCGTGTAAGCTCATCAAAGAAAGAATGCATTTAACAATGTTACAAAAGAAGAAGAATAAGTAAAAATGTATACAATAGAGATATGGATTATCCATATTCTTCTAAAAATGCTCTTAGTAAAATTCTACTCTTGAGAATTGGATTAAAATTTCCAGCGTATTTAGCACTCTCGCGACGACTCCTAATATCGAGTTTGATACGAACTGAAAGACGCCAGCCTTTCCAGCCTCTATAGACTTGCTAACTTTTTGAAATTAAACAATGCTTTTTCGAGAGCTAGAAAAGTTCGTAAGTTGTAAAGATGAAGAGACTGTAGAAAAAAAATTTGCTGTGTCGTTTTCGGTATGAATGATTTCAAGCTGCTACTTACCGTATGTAACCATAGTTCTCATACAAGCACATCACTATCAGCATTAGGAACTCTTTTCGAACTTACGACCTTCCATTTAAGTATCTTTTGCACCCACACATTTTACACGAAAACTATCATTCACAACAACAACTAAAATTGACATAGTAGTCGACTGGCACCCAAATTTCTGGTTAGTGAGGTCTTTCAGAAAACTGTTTTTTGTATATTTCAAAGTGCAGAACAGAGCTTTTTCTGAACAATGACCACCATAGCATCTGTGTTCTATAAGCTATCAATGTAACAAAAAATATAGGAGAATAGTTCTATGTGTTAAAAGGAACCACCGGGAACAAGTGAGACGCATGGTGCCTTACCGGCCACTCCCGCAAAACCAATATGATACCTATAGGTGTCACCCGTTGCAAGACTGTTAGGGAAATAAATGGGTCACGACCGACATTACATTAATCTTCACTAATTGGTGTCATTACAGTTAACAACAGTAAACAGTTGAAACTGACTACGCTGCGACGTAGAATCGCACTCGAGCTAAAGGTCTGCCATTTCTAGTCTTAGAACTGACACGTGGTTACTCGAGATTTGAAAACGTGAAAGAAGGGTGGAAAAAAAATAATGAATAAAACGAAGGAAGTTTGTAGAAAACTATTAAAGAATCTGTCTCTTCCTGTGCAAAGTCGATAAGTGTGGCACTGGTAGCATATTACCCCCTTAGTGTTAGCAATACGAGATTTCTTCCGCCACGAAAAAGGAAAGCAAGAAAGGCATCACAATATGTGTGAAGTCCTGAGCTTATTAAGCATTCGAATATGCGACTGTGTTAGCGCCTACCTTTTTTTTTCTTATTTTATTTTCTTATTTTACTCTATTCCTCCAACGGTTTACC